CCCCCCCCCCCCCCCCCCCCCTCACCAGATCGACCATCACCTCGACCCCGACCTCCTCCAACGCCTTGACATAACACAGCCCATCCGAGTACAGACTGTTCTTCGAGTACAGCTGGATCCACGTCCTCAGCAACCTTTTTCAGTATTTCCTCATCTGGCCACAAGGCAGCATCCTCTCCAGCCCGTCCCGCAGCACTGCCCACTTCATTCGCCTGAGCAGCGAGTTCCACAAGGAAGAATGTCAGGCGCTGGTGTGCAGATACCGAAAGTGCAGCGGCATGTAAAGATCCAGGCCGCTGAAGGCGTCGCTAGTGACGGGAGGCAGCGGAGGAGGACGCCGTAGATGGTTGGTGCCGCAGGCAATGGCGTACTGGGAGACAAGGGCGGCGAGCTGGTGGTCGCCGGAGGAAATTCCTGCTAGGATGATTTTTTTTTGGGTGGTTGTGTGTTCCTATTATCGCGATGCCGATGTTGGTGTTGGTTGAGGTTGAAGTTGAGGAGGGAGAGGCAGTCGAATAGGCTGTGTTCTGCGGAGTAGGTCGGCATGAAACGGTAGGCGAGTGAGTGAGTAGATGTCTCTGATCATGGGGAAAACTGGTGACATTTGACGTTTTAGGTTGTGGTGAGTGATGTCGCTTTCAGAATTCAAAGGCAGGAGAAGCTTCCTCACTGTCGGCTTCGCCTACATACAGTCCGTCACCGTGGGTGTGATGGACCGTGTGAGATCCGGTTGCTCCTGAGCTTGGGAAGACGCTGCAGGGCTGTCTCTTGCTTGGGGAAGCGGTAAAATGCTCATAGCTTATCAGTGGGATCTGGTAACGGTTCCCTTCATCGGCGGACAGCGAGGCGAATGTCAATGGGACGGTGAACTCGGTCTTGGTCGCGTTAAGGAGAGATGGTGATCCCGAGCTCCGGGGGCTAGCATGTTGAGCGTTGAGTGAACAGCAACCTGCTGCGAAGGCGGCTTGGTGCTCGGTTGTGGGGAGACCCGGGCGTACTTTTTTTGAGACTGGATTTCTCATCGGAGGCGAGCCATACCGAGTATGGGGACGCCCGGAAGAAGGGGAGTGGGGGGTATTTTGAAGGAAGATGGAGTTCATCTTGGTCTTTCTGTTTGTGAATGTTCAAGAAGGTAAAAGTGGTGTCGGCTATTCGATCGAGCGGCGTGACGGTGTCTCACAGAAATGTGGAGAAAGATGAGTGAAATTAGCTGTTCAGCTGGTAAGGCAGACACTACCTATCCTGATGTGCTCACATGGTAGGTCATCAAGGGAGTATCTCTCAACTGGAGACCTTCTTATTCGCTTTTATCGGAAGCTGGTTCTATTTGAAACCCATTGGTGGTTGTGAATGCAACTTCTCTTCATGTAGTATGCGAGCTCACATCGACCCGTTCTGGAATGAAGCTGAAGACACTCGCAGTATACCCTTGGATCAATTACTCTGATACATCAAAAGACCATGGCATTGCTTCTTGGTTCTCACCAGGCTTTGGTAATAAGGACAGACGTCGTCTCGTCATCTACGAGTGTCTCCTCCTGCGGTTCATACGTGCCCAATGAGACTTTTACTTGAAGTTGCCTTTCGCTTGTCATTTCGAGGTTTCTCCATACCGAGGATGGCGCACCATACCTGACACCTCCTCTGGTTTATCGTCCTCAGGCACATGTTCCATGTATCATGGCACTATGTTTCGCGATTCCTATCCCATCAACCTACCGTACGAGTCTTGTTCATAAGCGCCATGGATTTCCAACACTTAATACTCCACAAACAAACTTGGGAAACCGTCATAATTTACATCCAGACTGCCGTCATAGGTTCTTCTTCAGGTCCCGGATTATAAGTGATGACAATCTTCCATGCGTCCGGAGTCTCCCGGAGGTATGTAGGTATGTAAAGAACTCCAACACTAGGTGTTCATTTGATTCATGCCATCGCGATCGCCGCCTGAGAAAATTCAATTTTTCTCGTAGATCAACAAGTCAGACCACATCCTGTTTCCACCAGAGGGTTCGCTTGTATCTGGTTCTCTAGTGGTCACGCAAGTATCACCAATGTTGAAGGTTGGTCTCTGAACAACAACATGTATCAATCTAGGTAGGTTTACAACGAAAGGATTGACAACTGAAGTCCATTGCAGGCTGCGTAGGTACGACCTGACCTCTTTACTCCACCTGCCACAATTTCTGCCATTGTTCCTTCCATCGTTCTTTCCACCACATCTGCCGCCGATCTTGCCGTCTGCCCGGCACGCCCTTCCCTTCGGTTCCCCCATGACAGACATCGGATGACGGATGACACACCTGCCCGCCGTCCCTCGTACCTTCCAAGTCTACTAGTGTACCTAGACCTGACCCAGGCACTCACCATTGGCAGGCACCATATAAGGTTTGTTATCTACCTAGTTTCTCTACCACAGCGGGGAGCCCTGTGTTTGCTACTATGGCGCAGTGGTTACCGTTGATGATGAATACTTAACTTGGCGCGGCGGTTTTCGTAGGTAGGTTTGCAGCTGGGGCATTGTCGTTCGTTATACAAGCCTACCTGGGCGACTTGGCTTTTCATTCCACCATTAGATGGAGGAACAGTTGGGGAAATGTTGACAATAATGGCTTTTGCATTTCCCTTTGTCATTTTGAGGTTTCGAAAAGGGTTTGTTTGTTTGCCAATGAGGAGGGGAGGTTGGAGATGGCACTTGGGAGGTGTGGAATGGGTGATGTGATGTTATGTTTATCAGCATCGACGAACTGTGATCTCGCTTCCCTATGCATTGTTTATCCAGTCTCTTGGTAAGTAAATACCTTCGAGACCTCAAGATTGCTTAACGAATCGTCAAGTGCACATGTGTACCCTACCGCCGCCGACAAGTTTAGAGCCCGCAAAGGCTGCTATCAGAAGCGAAGGCACCATTATAACTCTAACGAGCCGTTCCCACCTTCGATGGTACGCTCCGTAGATGTTGCTTGCTGCGGTTGATGGTCCCCATCGTCGAAACACTACCTATTATAGACCTCGGCACTTATTGCTCTCCAAGTCCAATGCACTCTAATGCTTTCAATGCTTCCAAGGCTTTCTGTTGCTCTCTGATATTATCGATACTCCCTGGTAGTATATAGTAGGAGTAATGTTTCGATTATTGATAGACGCGAAGCTGCCTTACACGTGACTTCTTTTTTTTTTCCTTGATTCCTCGATTTGTAATGCTTGTGCGGTGTTTATCGATCGGTAGCCATCTCATAAGCTGCGAACATCTGAGGTTAGGTAGGTAAATGTAGACAGCCGCGAAGTAGTAACATTATGTTACCTCGTACCAGAGTCATCCAGATACCTGTCGCCCTTACCAAGCTTTTAACCAGCTTGATATACGTACCTCTACATGCAACAACACGAGTTGATCATTTGCCGACTAACGCGCCGGTTCGTTCCCGTTTAATGTAAGTAACCTTACCAACGTCTACCACACTCGCACTCTCAGACTTCATCTGCAATTTGCCTTGGAAGGACGGGCAACCTTCAAGTAATCTTGCTTTTCGGTCAGGCGCGTCGTCCTTGTTAATGGGTAGGTAGTGACAAACCGGATGTTTCGTTCCTTTCGGCGTGGAGTTTTTATGATGGTTTCCATTAATTGAACGAAGATAAAGACTTGTGACTTGTGAAGAAGCTTGGTATATAGGTCTTAAAAGCTTTCTGTAGCTATGCCATGTCGTCACGGACTGGGCAAGAGGCCTCTATATAATCAAATGGTTTTATGCTGGTTGGGATGTGAAATGAAACTCGCACATTAATGACAATAAAAGTCTTATTCCCTAGCTATAATCTTAACACAGCGCCATAATGGCATGGGGCCCCTCTTCAGGTTTTCGGTAGGCGAAACCTTGCGACACTCGCACATAAAGCTATAATATACTTCAGTTTTATGCTTCGTTTCTTGACCTCTTCTGTTATGATTGTATGGACTATTATAGCTCGAGCTCCGACTTCTTGACTGGGCTACCTTTATGCTTTCACAGCTGAGATGGACAAGAACGAGATCAAAGGAAACGTGTTCCGTCCGGAACTTACCACCGGGCTATCTGCTCACGGACTTACAGACAGGGGTTCCGCAGTTTTCATTAGCTGTTGGGTTGGCGAGATTAACATGTGAGACAACAGTTGAGTGATATCACAATGGAGGACAACCGGGCATAGAATTAGTGTTGGAACGTGGTTGACACAATGATGGCTCTATTCCTAATCACTACGCCATGCCATGCCTCATCATACGATGTATGATGTATATGGACTCCCATTCCACCCATTCCTGTGTGGGTATTTCCCAGTTCCAGGTTCCCATTTCCGGACCTTCCCTTCCGAGAACTTGACCGGCGTACCGGAGAGAACTCGGCGGATGGAGAAAGAAGAAATATTTGCCACTTCCAACTTGTGAAGATGCGTGGCTGAAATGCTTGCTACCCCTTGATCGATGCAGAATGGGGTTGTTAAGACACTCTTGAAGAAAACGGTATCAAGGGGAAGACAAAAACATGAAACCAAACAGAAAAAGGAAAAAAACAAAGACAAAAGAAAAAAAAGAAAAAAAAAAAAAAAAAAAAAAAAAAAAAACCAGAGCGCCATACCCATGGATCCCCAACCCCGTTCCCAATAATGCAGTGACCGACCGAACCCCGGACCCGACCTGCGACCCGGTTCCAAAGTTGATGCTTGATGTGACAAAGGAAATGAGTGAGTTTGTGTTACAGACGCAAGTGTTGTTGCTTGTTGTCGGGAATAAGAAATGGTACAGAATCAAGTGACAATGACAAATGGGTTGTGTGTAGGTAATACAATCCATCCCTAAGCAGATGTAAAGGGATCGAATGAGAAGTGAGGTATGAAGTGAAGAACAACACGAGCATGGTACAAGAGAGAGGAAAGTGGTTGGAAGACAGACGGATGGAGGGCGAGAGTAGTGAGAGAGAGAGATCTTAAGATCCCCAAACTTCAATCCATATCAAGATCAAAGCACTCTTCCTCATCAGCCATTGGCGCGTCCAACTCAAAGATGACGCCTCTCCTCTTCCAACCGCCTCTCTTGATGAAATCGTCAGCGGCATCCAGACCTCGTGGGCGTGCCATGGCTGCCGAGACCTCCTTTTGGGGACCCTGACGAGGCTTTGGTGCCACCGTTAGGCCGACACAATAGTTCGATTCCATCGAGTCGCTGCTGAAGCTGCTGCTGAAGCTGTCGGTGCTCGGAGTGGGAGAAGAAGGCGATGCCACGCTTGCTGAACCATGTGCTGGAGCTGATGTTCCTGGTGCTGACTTGTTGGGGTGAAAGCCAAAGTCGAAGCCGTCGTAAATGACCGTTGTTGGCGTGGTAGGCTGGTGAGAGTGGTGATGTACACGTGGCGTCGTCGTGTAGTGATGCTGAGCGTGATGTGGCTCGGGCAGACTGCGCGAGGGCCGGCGTGGTCCATCCTCACTGATGTTCAGAGATGGCCGATGAGTGACGGTTAGGTCGGGAGGATGGCATCTCAGGGGATCGAAGGCCATCCTCCCGTTGCTGCTGGTGGTAGAGGAGCGGGAATCCATGGATGAAGCATCGCTTGGGTATCTGGCGTGCTCAACCTTGCTGAACGAGTGGCCGGACCTCATGGATTTATGGCTCCGGAAACTTCGGAGCATCTTGTGGTTTTGCGTATGGTGATGATGGCTGGTGGTTATAGGGATGCAGAGCATAGCCTGATGCGGACTCGAACAAATGGCGAGAGACAAGTTCTTCGTTATTTGCAATGTCGGTAGTGGTGAAGCGACTGAGCTAACCCCAGTTACTGGGCGAGCCGGTTGGATAACATCGAAAGGAGGAGGGGGGCAAGGGAGCTTTATTTAGGTGGCAGCGTGGTGTAAGCCAGCAAGCGGGGGAATCCACCGAAACTTTGGACTAGTAAAGACGTGGACGCAGCAAAACCGAGCCAGATAAATTAACTGTGCGTTATGTTAAAGAGAAAAAGGCCGGGTGGAGCCTGTCTAACCAATGGGGTACTATGAGCACCTTGGCGTTTCTAGCGTGCACTATGATGTTTCTTGCGATGCGCCAAGAACATGGTAGGAGAGTTAGAGAACAGAACGTAAGAGAACGTCAATAGGAGGCGTCATGGATGGGAGGAACCACGAAGCGTCTATTTAAAAGTTGAAGTCTAGGAGCTGAAGATTACGCCTAAAGGAGGAACAACTAGAAGTAGAGCTACCGGGAGCTTTGAATTCAGAGAACCGCCGTCATTATACACGCCTACTTACATGACTCCACACCGCTGTTTTTATCGGGATACACGGTTGTTTTATCTGGCTTGCAACAATCCTCGTGAATGCTTTGCTAGCTAGCGTGCCTCTAGGTAGTGTGATGTAGTGTACACTAGACAGATTGCCTTGCCAGGTCGACTAGGAACAGGGTATTGGGATTTCCCTTGGGAGTGAGGGGTGCCACCGTGCCTCTGTAGTTAGATCGCGCGCCCCCCTGACATGGCAAAACAAAATGCTGTCTGTACCTTGCATCTCCGCATGTGGGTTCCATTCAGCTGTCTTGCCCTGGAACGTATTTCGTGAGCGCCGGACTTCACCACACATCCTACAAAATTCACCCACAATTCCATGATATTACATGCAGGAAGTCGGGAAAAACTAGTGTATTCTTCAAGCTTCATACAATACTTCCTATCTCCTTGATTCTAAAATGGCTGTATTGTTATTTTTCTGTGTTGATTTGCAGACCCCAACTGCAAGAACCACGCTAACCAACGTTCCACGTTGAAGTGGTGTAAGGGTACCGCGTTGACATGTGCGCAACAAGTCACCACCATGTTTTCTTCCTATCAAAAAGTCCCAATCAAGCAGTGAACCCCGTGCTACGTTACTCTGTGGATACCTTGCTGGCGGCCTTCCACTCCCAAGCTCCCTATCAGGAAGAGAAAAAAAAAAAAAGAAAAAAAAAACACAAAACAGCATGTGTTGACAGGGTACGTCATGATCGGGCATTGCACGAATGCCATCATCGATGCAGTCATGGGCCTCCTGATCAGTGCAATTGTGCCCCCCTGCTCGTTTCAAAAATTCACCGTTCCTGACGCAAAAGATCAACCGCAGCGCATGCGGGCCGCTCAGTGGACGGATGACAGGACTACCAGGAAGAACGATGATCTGGGGAGAAATGCTACCTGGAAGGGACTCTCAGTCTGTGATAATCGAGAGAGTGTTCGCATCTGATGCCTCTGAGGGAGTGATATCTGTGCATGTCTGTGCTCTTCCCTTCGGTGAACCATGAGACCTTCAAAAGGAAAGAAAGCACCGGGCATCATGCTAGGTCGGTTCAACTTTACAAACTTCCGTACTGTGTATATCGGCGAGGTCGGATCTCGCGCTCGGCATGGCCTGACAACCATCGGTGACTGCAAAGATTTTTTTTTTTCATCCTCCGCAGTTCCCTCTGCTCGCTCCCTTCCAAGCCTTTCTCTCTTCATCATAAGCCCATCATGACAAATATCCCACCAGCTCATATCCACACAGACACGGCCCAAGACGTCCAAAAGAACATAACTCCGGCTTACACGGGCAGGGAGTGGCAACTGGGCATCCTCCAAAGCTCCACAACACAGCTCGTTTTCGACCGTTTGAAGCCAGGCAGCCAGTCTCCAAGCCCGAACGCATCGCCTCATCGGCATGTAATTCCCAGGTGTTCGTTCGCCGCTGGGCGATCCGGTAACCGAGCAGCAGGACAGCAGCAGGCATTTACGGCACCCCAGTTGGAACCAGGAATGCTTGGCTCTGCATGGCATTACAAAAAGCGTGGAAAGCATGCGAAAACAAAAACTCGAATCTGTTGGCAAGGTCGTGCCGTACCCTCTGATTGGTTTGACAGCAAATTAGAAAGATCCAAGCCAAGCCTTTTGCCAAGGACAGGCAAGACACTCAGGCACACACAGCCTGCAAGGCTGTGATTCCTGAAATTCCGAGCAGCGCTGTTGGAGTGGGTGTTTGCAACGCCATCATCCACATTGGTGGGCTGTGATCACTGGCGTTGTGTGTGATGACTTGATGAACCTGATGACTGTGAAAGGTGTGCACACTTGTGAGTGCCTAGCGTGTGTTTTAGCGTTGCGTGGAGAACTTCGTTGAAGCTGTGTGAGGATTATTGATCGGCTTTTGTCGTCCGCACCATTTCCTATCTCGGACTATAAGTCGCCGAACCCTCAAGATGCCGTGCCGAATATGCATAGGTTCGGGGGATTCCATGTGCGCGTTACACAGTAGATTGGTCGTGATCGCCGGGAAAGAAAAAAAAGAAAAAAAGAAGAAAAAAAACCAAAACTTGCAAGTCGAATAAACAAACACACGTATACTTCCCGATCCCGAAAACATGGTCAACATAGGTTGTTTTCTAATGCCAAGAACATCCGCCGGCCAGAGGATTTTTTCCCCACCAAGGTTCAGTGTCTTGTAGGACGTACCATAGGACCGCACATGTAACCACCTCTCGCTATGGAAACAATTATTTGATCGGGTTAGCACGATTTGGCTCAGGGGACCCGCAAGTTCAGCAATCGCGGAGACATGCAGTAGCATCGATCTCAATTCGGATTCAGCTTGCTTACCAGGCATCAGCTTAACTCCCCCTGCCTCTCATGATTCAAAATCTCTTTCTTACTATATACACTACAGTATACTATGTACTAACTATACTACATACGGCGAGTCTGGCGAGGTCCAAAAAAGTGGAGGCAAGGCGTGCGTACCTCTAGCAAATACACTACACCACTAAATTTCAGCTTGACCCCATCTACTATGGTGAGATGGGTAAGTTAAACCCGTGGATCAGGTCGTCGACCACACAGTGCTCACGAAGCTCTGGCTGTGGTGGTCCGTGCAAGATACCTGACAAGGGGGTTTTACTTTTGCTCGCAACCGCAGTACGGCTCTAGCGTACCGAGCTTGCAATTTCTCCCAACACACGAAGTGGTGCGTGCTGTAGAGTGCGCGTGCCTGAAAATCACCCCTTTATTGCGTTAAGCTGCAAAAACCTAATCACACAGATCGAGCTATTCCAGACTGGACGAAGCTTATCGTGATCCCCTGCGAACATCGTAAAGTGTCGTGATTTGTGATTTGGCCTTTTTTTTTTCTCCGAAAAGCGACGGTGTGATGCGATGCTCAACTTGCAGAGTGCAGTTTCGCTTCCCCCCGTCCCTCCCCTCCCCTCGATCCCAACTGGAGTTTGTCTGTTAAGCTGAAGGGATCTTCAGTCGGGGACCTGGATGGAGCTTTATCTTGCTTTTGCAAACCTTTGTGTTCAAGTGTTGATCTCCGAAAGCTATTGTAATTGGTATTTTGAACTCCCAACAGAGTACATTTCCTACCGACATAGTGTACATAGCATACACTACACTACATACTAGGTGTGGTGTCGTCATAGCTGAGGTGTGGAGAGAACACCTCCACTCCACTGTATGTGGATGTCCGTACACCAATGGCGGGGTCCACGTACCTGCGTAAACCTCGTTTCACTGCAGCTGTGTGTCTTGGAGGTTTGCTTTGTCTCCGTCGTCAACAACACCACCTTGCGCATCGCCCGAGGTGATGGGCAAAAATAATCAGTGTATGTCTAAGCTCCCTCGAAGAGAGTCTTTCAGTGCCGCGAATCGATTTTGTGACACGTTGTACAAACCGAGCACATAAAAGCGTCTCGCTTTGTGCGGCGGGCTGCCATATACAATGTTCGCTGTGCAGACACTCTTTGAACGGGACCTCTGTGCAAGCGTTCAGTATGACCTATCAAAACCCTCTACGATGATTGAAAAAGAAAAAAAAAAAGAAAAAATAAAAAATGGGTAATCGATTTTTAACATGCTTTTACAGCTTCAGTTCAATCAAAAGTCCGTTCTCAACCGCTAACCCCGGAGTGCTGCGCAAAGAATTCCCACAAGGCTCCGTAGTGTCGGCTTCTCGGCTACCAAGAAGGGATAACGCCTTCCAGGACGCCGGGACGCCGGGGGGCGCAGGGCGCAACGGACATCGTTGATGATAACGGACAGACTTACCTCTTCGGGGATTTCTTGTCGTCAAACAGCGTCTCAGATTTTCCATCGGTTCATTTTCCGTATCTTCCAGAATTGAAAGATACGTCCTGCTGGTTGTCCACAAAGTCGTCTGTAATGTAGTGTACGCACCGGGTCGAAAGGCGTCGAGGTACGTCAAAGACAAGCCTCGGCCACCGGATCGGCAACCAATAAGGCTTATCAAATCCGCATCCTTCCTTTTCTGCTTTTCAATACAGGCAAATCGACCAAGTTTATAAAGACCGTTCCCAGCTTTAGGTATTGATGATCATCACGCCTATGACGATATGGCCAGTGTTGCAGTGTACAGCTATGCAGGAGATGATGTTATGTATGGCCCGCGCACGTCAGACATGTGTCAAGTCTCGCTTTATTCTTGGACCTCTTTCCGGTAAGATCTTCTTCTGAAACGAGACCGAATGCGACAATGAGGAAAATGATGTTATGCATTTCCCAGTCGGTCATGTCCTTTTGCAGGATTGCCATCTTGCAGCGGAAAAGAAGCAATGACTGTGCCGCACAAGGGGACTTTTCTGGAAGTGCAGTGTCTGTCCTAGGTATTCGCCATGAGGGCAGCTTAGCAAACATCAAACAAAGAGTTGTAGTAGGTCTAGATTTTTTGTCCTATCCCTCCAGCTGAGAGAGTTCTCCCTCCCGTTGCTCCCCCTTTTGGACATACGTCCAAGCCCATTTGCACAGATATCTGCTGCAGGTGCACCAGCAGCATTAGCCATTTTGGTTCCTGAGTCACCCGTCGTCGGTGGCTCGACCGGGGTAAGGTAATAAATAATGTGTGTGTGTGTGCACCGGCATCATGTCACGCGGCTGACAAGAACGGCGCAATATCCGCTGCCTAGTTCAGGTACCCGTCACGGCAACCGACCAGTCACATTTCCCGTTCCACAAATCCGTGCTATCGGTAGTCAACCTGATGACCTCTCTCAAGCCTCCCTTGACCGTGCTGCCGTTTAGGTAATGCCCTGGCGTACCTGCTCTCCAAATTGGCGTAGAAACCGGACTGAGTGTGCTACCTCGGCCTTAGTGAGAGTTGCGCCCAAAACATAAGACAGTTCGCCGCCTTCTCCTGCTGAGACCTTTTTGTACTCCCCCAAAGGGCATCATCTTGCTGCGCAATGAGGGTCATAAGTCGAACCCGTATAAGAACTAACATGCCTCTCAGTCATCTTTCTCCCTCCGCATGGACTCGAACGATATACGGCTCAGCCTCGACGCCTTATCGCACTTGAGCCAATCGCAGGAGCCCCAGGCCCCTGGGGAGCGCTCCAGCCCAATGGATGAATAGCCCTTGATCGTTGCCGAGGACGGAAGTTCAAAGATGTTCGTTTTCCTTCTCCCTGCTGATCATAAAGTGCCTTTTTATTGCCTTAAACCGACATGACATTCGGGTCGCAAACAGGGTTGTTGTGATATTGTCTGATGTGTGTGTGTGTGTGTGTGTGTGTGTGTGTGTGTGTGTGTGTGTGCGCGCGCATAACGTCTTCAAAGCAAACCATCGGATTCTCCCTTCAGGCGTTCGACACGCTTCTGTTCCCAGTTGTCGAGATCCTTCGCCGCCAGTCTCTATAGCCCGGATGTCAGCAAAGTTGATTTTAGAGATAGCAAAGCCCCTCCTAGGCCATCAGAAGCTCAATGTCGAGACTTACGTAGTACTCCTCACGAATGTCCACCCTGCGCTTCCTCTGACCCAGACCCAACTCCTCTTCACGCGACACCTGTCGGACCTTCCGGTCGTACTTCTCGTAGCGAATTGCGGCGGCAGGGGTAAGGATGAAGGAGCCGGCAACAATGACCGACATGAAGGGAAGACCAAAGAGAAGGAAGGGGTGCTTCTTCATCATTGCACGGTATTTGGCGGCGAAGGTGTTGGTGTTCGCCGTCGAGGGAAACTTTTTGCTTTGGAACGTCATTTTGCCGAAGAAGCCTTGCGCAAGCCGGTGATCAAAGGTTGAAATATTATTCGATATATTGATAATTGTCGCGTACAGTTGGAGGCTAGGTCGACATCCGAAGTGGGCAGAAACGTCGTCACGGTTCAGCAAGCATTCGATGTCAAAGTCGAAGAAGCATGGACGGCGGGAATGATGGATGTGACGACGGGGCCGGAGTATGCAAAAGCTCAGGTGGGGGCCCGTATGCACCGAAACGTCGTTGCGCGGGGATGGGTCATTGTGGAGGGTTAGGGTTCCACTGCTGACTCCTACGACGACAAAACTCACGAGAACTTGGACAGAACTTGACCTGCGATTGTCTTCCAGCACAACTTAAAAGTAAACTGATTGCAGTAGATATGTGTCAGGCAATGCAGAGCACACTGGCTTTTAATACACAAGATTCATTGTGCTGAACTATGTTAACCAATCTACGTCTCAACAACGAGGACCAAACACCTCGCCCATCACCAAACGGGATACTAGAAGCCGATAAATAATTATCATCACACGTAACCTTAACAGATACCTCACCACTTCAGTAAGCGCCTGTCCTCTTTTTCCACTCTCCCGCCTTAACAACCTCCACCTCCCTTCTCCCCGTCCTAACCGGCGTCCCCGCCTCCACCCTCAACCCCGGCACCTTTGCGCCCTTCTTCCCCGTTGCCCAAACCGCCACGCCCACCCAATTCTCTCCTTGATAATTCAATATCCCCTCAGGAACGGGGAAACTACTCTGTGGACCAATGTGGCTTACGTACCGTCCGTACTGGAAACCATTGACATAGAGCCAGACTCTGTATTCCTGTCCTGGCTCCAAAGAGGTGGAGTTGTCAAAAACGAAGCGGAGGGGAATATCATACTGCGTGGAAGGGATGGAGAGGAGGAAAGAGGTGGTGTAGAAGGCTACGCCTGGTGAGGAGAGGCCTGTGAAGGGGGTCGAGGCATTGGAAGAGGAAAAGGAGGAACTAGGAGGGGAGGGCAGGTGGTAACCTTGTCGTTCGATGAAAAGACCGCCTTCGTTCAGAGGACCGCGGGCTTTATCGCGGTATTGCTCGCCGCCTAAGTTGCCGGTGAGTTTCCAGGTTATGTTGGATTTGGGCAAAGTGGTGTTGGTATCAGAACCAAGGGAGTAGTCCAGAATGCCCCGCGGAAGCTTCATGGTGTCATCGCCAACTGTCCAGTCCTCGTCGAGACCCATATTGTCGACCAGCACAGTGAAAACGTAGTGCTGCCCTGCGACGAGCGGGGAGGGAAGGTCGTACGTGTCGTTGTGCACAGAGGCCGCGCCGCTACCGGGCCAGCTGCCCACAAAGGAGGAGTTGAGCCAGACGGAGGAGCCAAAGGCGCTGCCGCCTATCGTGGAGATGAACAGCTTGGTTTCAGCGCCCGTGGCAGTGAAATGGCCGCGAAAGAGCAGGGCGCCGGTGTGGAAGCCATAATCGGAGGCGTAGAGGGAGACGGGGGTCTTGAGCGGCCCGACGTAGGTGTTGTTGGTGGATTTGAGGTTGGCCGAGGGCCAGGCTGAGTCGTCATAGTCGGGTTGGATCTCGGGGAGGGAGTCGATGTAGTACCATTCGGCCGTGGAAAAGTCGGACAAGGAAAAGAATGGGGCCTCGGAGTCGATTTCAACGATGTAGTTGCCCTCGGAGTCTACTCGGTACTCGGTGGTCTCCCCGTTAATTTGGAGCTCGGAAACACCAAGGGGCACGCCGATCACTTCGAGTGTGGTTGTGGTGTTGAAGTCGGCTTGGAGTGACAAAGAAGTGCCATTGATGGAAGCGGATCGGATGAGGTATCCACCATTTACAATCAAAGAGGACAATGAATTGGTGATCTGGGGTGCCCAGTAGTTGTATGCAGTGTTGCGATCTAGTTCGTCAATTCGTTAGCGATGAGACACTCCGAAATATGGGAGATCAAACTGAACCGACCCAGAATGTAGATATGCAGATTTCCTGCCTTAAAGATCCTCCTTTCGGAGTTCGCCTTCCACTGTACAACAGTGAACAATTTCTTGTCATCCTTCTTGACCGTTTTCACCTGCACCGGTGGGCCTGTTGATGTCCACTTGACTTCATCGGCAATTGCAAGCTCGTGCGTTTCTCCTTCACCACCATACACCACTAACACCGTTCTATTGCTGAACTTCTTCCAAGTAAAGATCTCAGCTGTCGAGTAGATCAATTTGTGGTCATCGACAGAATAATCCGCGACGTGTATTTTGCTGTCTCGTCTGCTCAAAGTGAGGGAACCGCCCAGAATGGGGATACTCAAATTTCCAGCCGAGGTTGGCAGCGAGAGGGTGTAAGGGGTTGAAGCAAGCGTCTGATAGTCGGTGTGGCGAACAACGTAAAACGAGCCTCCGTCCGGGGTATAGTTGACTAGAGCAGTTACAGTGATGTCCGTGTTCGGGCTGTAGATGCCCGTTCTATTGCTAGTGTCAGGTGTAGCTGTGAGGTATCCAGGTGAAACCTTTAGGAAGTTGGCTTCCAGTTTCAACTCCGAATACTTCTCGCGAGAAACGGTACGATCCTCGGCTATGGCAGCAGCATAGTCGTATGAGGTGTAGCCTCCCGGATGCCCCAGGTTACCCCAGTTGGTGCCTCCGAAAATCTACTCTGGTTAGGCCTGGAGTTGTGAGGCGGGTCTTGGGGGGAGTAGCATACCATATATAGGTTAAAGATGGTAACGCCAGAAGCAAACATGTTCTTGTAGAAGACACGGACTTGCTCATGGTTAATGAGTTGCTCGCACTGGTCAAAGCCATATCCACCCCATGGGTCAAAACTGCCTCCCTGCTCGAACAGTCAGCCTAAGTTCGGTGGACTTTGAAACTTGGTACTAAAATACGTACCTGAAACTCTGGTACGGTGTATGGAGTAGAAGGGCTAAATTTCAGGTGCTGGGCACGGTACTGCGTAATCAAGTTACCCAAAGGCCATGTTGTGGGATTTTTGCAGTCAAAACCCAAGGGATAGCCATCGTGCCCTATGCACATTGTCAGTCAAGCGTATCCTCAGTCCTTAGAAGATCTCACGTACCGTAAATATCAACCTCTCCTTTTCCTGAGCCAGGTAGATTGTGACCCCCAGTCCATGAAGCATCGTTGCTCATCATAGGGAGCACAATACCGGCGTTTCGCGCCTGATCAATCACATATTGCATGTAGTCAGGATCCGGAAATTTGACGCCTGAAGCGGCACCGGTATACTCGTTCTCGGGTTGGTACAAGATGATGGGGCCACCGTTGGTTATTTGGTACTTGGCTATGAGCTTGTCGACGTTCGCGACGTAGCTTTCAGCTCTGTCAGTCCAGTTTCCATATGGAAAAGGTTTGATTATCGAGGCTCTTCACTTACTTGTCGGTAGCAGCGAGGTACTCTGGGTCTGCAGTCCTCAAGTGTCCTTTGATTCTTTGGAGCCAGCCTGGAAAGCCGCCTCCAGACGCCTCGGCATCTGTAGGGTTGTAAGCAAGCTGCACTCGACGTGTTTCCATATGGGGGAGACTCACTGATGTAAGGTCCAGGTCTCGCGATTAGGTACATGCCCGCCTCCTTGGCCGCCTCGAAAAATGCCGAATAGTCAAAGATACCTTCACCACGGAAGATTCCCGGTTCTCCCTCCAGTAATGCCCAGTCGAGATAGAAGGAGACGGTATTGAGGCCGAGAGCCTTGACCTTTTGGAAAATATCCAGCCATAATGACGGAACAGGCAAGCGAAAAGGATGGACCTCGCCGCTGAAGATCATCAACCGCTCACCTTTGATGAAAAGCGAAGAGTTATCGAACGTGACGATATCCTGCAGAAGTGTCTGGGGCTTCAAGGTCTCGGCGTGTCCCAAACCTGCCGCTGCAGACACGGCCAACAGGACGGAGAGCGGCCTCATGATGTGATCCTTTGCTGTGAAATCACAAAGGACAGTTGACAAGTCGCAGATGCAGCCACGATGGGGGGAAGACGCAGGAACCAGGCATCTGGAAACCCCTTATATCTGTAGTTTGTTTCCACTCGGTCTATGGTGTCATACGTACCTCAGATATTTTCCAATGGACGGGTACCTGCTAAGAATAGCTCGACTATACCAATTGGCGTAGCTTCGCCGCATCCAGCTTCCCTTTGCCCTCCCCCCTTCTGCTTTTGAGGGTATACCGCATACGATAACCAGAACTCACCTCATACAAGCCGGATTTGTCTGAACACAGAACTAAGCTCAACATAGTTTAGTACATCAGATGACGATGCTAGACCGCAAGGAGAATGAAATAAATCCGGTTTGAAAGAAAAGATGCGGTAGTCCCTTGGTAACGCCGTAGCCGAACGACATCCATCCGCTGTGTTGTTGAGCATTGCGACCCTGCGCCATGTTGTGCACATCGGATGCCGGCTCGATTGTGGTGGATTTTGTCATTAAGCCGAGGCGGGAGATGCACGGTAGGCGCAGGAACGAGATAAGATCAGCGGCATTTCAGGTTCGCATGCTGAAGTTTACAAGTTGAACGGTGCGTGATTCGTGGGGTATTTGGCCGTGTATCGGTGCATCTCGAATTCGCTGCAGATGAAGTCATATGAGAAGACGTTGTTGACCAGGAAGAAAAGGCGGCCAATGCTACTGGAAGTTTGGCGCTGGACAGACGGAAGAAGGCTACATCGACCCACTTTATGTTCTGTGCAAGGCAACTTGAAGGGAACGGGAAGAAACTCAACTTCCCGCTCAGTTGTGAGGGGAAGGTTGAGAGGGGTTTTCGAGGATGACGGAACAAGCCGATGATGACTACTGTTTATGGCAGGAGCGTGGGAGGTTCTTTCGTGTTGATTAGGTTCTCCCTTTCTTTTTGAAATTTTTGTGGACCCATCGATGCATCTCCATTTTCCAGACGACGTGGAAAACTTGAGGCATTGCCCAAGACGATTGGCTGCACGCAAGTCAGTGAACATAATGTCATACGATATCGGCAGGTTTTGGCATTGTATATCCTGAGGGCCTTCAACCCATTCCGGTCCAAATCCAGGACTTGCCGTGATTTTCACCAACAGCCCTCACTTGACCATCACACGGGAGCGTCTTCATGAAGAGAAGGTGCAGTGACGGATGATGAGTATCAAATTGAAGAAACGTGGTGGAGACTAACTACCCCACGGGGTTAAAAGTTCACTTCAACCCGCAACAGCCAAGTATGTTCTCATTGGTGCGCATCAAAGTATGTGGGGTTCTGCTCGGTCTGCTCTTTCCCGGTTCCATCCCAGCTCCTTCACTGGAACTGCCCGAGGCGGGAATAGTACCCCACATCCCGCTCTGACATGGCAACCTTCACAAAAAAAACATTGCTCAAGTCCAGTTATTCGAGGCTTCCGGCGCGAGTCTTTCCTTGCGAAGCTTGGAGACATGACTGAGGAAGAAGACACAGGAATCTTGGCGAGTGAGTTAAAAGTTTCTCCAAATTCTGCCGGCTAGAGGTCTTGGTACGTAGTCCTAATTGCGGACGTAGGGGAAATACACTAGTCCCGGACTGGCCTGTCCTAAAGGAAGTGGAGACCTCGCGGCGGGCAGTCAGGAACTTAAACTCAATGCGGGGTCCAAGTGGATGTCTCGAGACTCCATCGCGACATTGAAGAGCGACATCATTTGGGCGTTTATAACCGTCACCAACCGCCACGGCAGTATCAAAGCCTGGACTGGGCTGGAACGATTTTGGTTCCAGGCGCTCAATTTCTTATCTTCATCCACATGACCTTCATCAGATAAACGAAGCCTCGAATCGGCGTTCAGGATAGCCATTCCTCCACAGCACTATGCTAACGCGGGATGAAGGCAGGCCGGAGAGCGGAGAGCGGGCAGGAGGCGTGCAGCAGCTCCCGTCCCAGTGCCTGGTGTGCGTATAAAAAGAGAGAGTCGGGCCTCTCACCCAGTGCTATCCCACAATCTCTTCTCCTCTCTCGAGCTTTAGTTCAGTCGTGACAATTCTCGACCGACACTTTCCAACAGCTTCAGACACAGTTCCCCCGGGCTTATTCTGATTACAATGGCTTCTAGCGCTTCCAAGACCAACATTGGCGTTTTCACCAACCCTCAGCATGATCTGTGGATCAGCGAGGCCTCTCCCTCCCTCGAGAGCGTCCAAAAGGGCGAGGAGCTGAAGGAAGGCGAGGTCACTGTTGCCGTCCGAAGCACAGGCATTTGCGGGTAAAGACCCGTCCCCGCCCTGCCAGTGAATTGATTACGTTGTGGAGAAAAGGAGACGACAGCAGCTAACAACTCGTGTCTCTTCACCGTAGATCCGACGTCCACTTCTGGAAGCACGGTTGCATCGGCCCCATGATCGTCGAATGCGATCATGTCCTCGGCCACGAGTCGGCAGGCGAGGTCATTGCTGTCCATCCCAGCGTCAAGAGCATCAAGGTCGGCGACAGGGTTGCCATTGAGCCCCAAGTCATCTGCAATGCCTGCGAGCCCTGCCTGACTGGCCGTTACAACGGATGCGAGCGCGTTGACTTCCTCTCTACGCCCCCTGTGCCCGGCCTTCTCCGCCGCTACGTTAACCACCCTGCCGTGTGGTGCCACAAAATCGGTAACATGTCCTACGAGAACGGTGCCATGCTCGAGCCCCTTTCCGTGGCGCTGGCCGGTCTTCAGAGAGCCGGTGTTCGTCTGGGCGACCCTGTCCTCATTTGTGGTGCCGGCCCCATTGGTCTGATTACCATGCTCTGCGCCAAGGCCGCTGGTGCCTGCCCTCTTGTCATTACCGACATTGACGAAGGTCGCTTGAAGTTCGCCAAGGAGATCTGCCCCGAGGTCGTCACCCACAAGGTCGAGCGCCTGTCGGCTGAGGAGTCGGCCAAGAAGATCGTCGAGAGCTTTGGTGGAATCGAGCCCGCGGTGGCTCTCGAGTGTACTGGTGTCGAGAGCAGTATCGCGGCTGCTATCTGGGCCGTCAAGTTCGGCGGCAAGGTGTTCGTCATCGGCGTGGGCAAGAACGAGATCCAGATTCCTTTCATGCGCGCCAGTGTGCGCGAGGTCGACCTGCAGTTCCAGTACCGTTACTGCAACACTTGGCCCAGGGCCATTCGCCTGGTCGAGAATGGCCTCGTTGACCTCACCAGGCTGGTGACGCACCGTTTCCCGCTGGAGGATGCGCTCAAGGCGTTCGAGACGGCGTCAGACCCCAAGACGGGTGCCATCAAGGTGCAGATCCAAAGTCTGGAGTAATTGGTTTGAGGTCGTTCATTATGTGTATAGAGGAAAAGGGATCATGGGTCTGGCGTTTAGCGTTATTGCCGAATTGACTTTTGGATTGTAGTTGAGTCTACATGGTGCGTCGCGTCAATGGTGATTTGAATGAGAGATGTCAATGTGAACCGGAACGTTTTGATTCCCCTTTCTGCAACGCAACTGAAGTCTTCAGTTGACGGCAAGTTGAGATGGCATACCTACTACTAGTACCTCTACCGTAGTGTAGAATACCTCTACCGTATGCGGATACTGCAGTTCCTGTTATCGATAAGAAAAAAAAGACGAGATGAAATCAATCCTCCAGGGCATGAAGTCATGGCGCCTAGGGCTCCCCTGTTTGTGCAACACGGCCCCTGACGAGCTTTCTTGGCATAACCCTTACCCTAACCCGACGAGTTGGGCGCATCTTGGCCTCTGGCTTACCGAAACTTGCCTTGGCAGATCTTCCGAGCTTCATCCAATTTTTCCCGACCCGCAATTCCCGCTCGCCCTTGGCTCTGTGTGCAGGTGCGCAATATCCCTCTACAACAAGCAGCACACGGAACCAAGCCGGAACCCCGACCACACTCCGTGCGCCTCTCTCTCTCCACTCCCCTGCACAGGCAAAGGCTTCACTTTCTCCTCCGACATCACCACATCCTTTCTCCGGCCCCTTCCTCCCCCGCACCGCCAGCGACCCCGACCGCCCGGCCCCCCTTCTAGAAACCGACCAATTCGTCAGTCGTCTTCTCCATCCGCGATCCGCAAACATGTCATTCGCCCTTGTTTCCCGGCGCTCGGCCCTCACCTTCGGCCGCCGCGCGGTCCGCTTCGAGTCTACCACCTCCGAGAAGGCTACCGAGGCCGCTAAGAAGACTGCTGCTAAGGCCTCCGAGCTCTCGACCAAGGCTTCCGAGGGTCTCTCCCGCGTCAGCTCCGCCGCCGGCCCTGCCCTTGCCAAATATGCCAAGACCCTCTCCAGCACCCTCGGCCGCGTCGGTGGCCGCACCGGCAAGCTGATTGCCTTCGCCGAGCGTACGGTTTCCTCCCGCGTCCCTTCCCGCGTCACCCCGTCCGGGTTACACCGTCCAATGGCACTTCAATGGCTGACATCCTTATCCCCTATCAACAGGCCAGACCCCCTTCGTCATCTACTACAGCAAGGTCGCTGCTGAGCTTGGCCGCATTGTTTTCAGGGGCCAGAGCATGACTCCTCCGTATGTTCCTTCCAGTGCTCCCCGTCTACCCATGCTTGGAAACCTTTGGGTTGTTGACATGCCTCTTCATCACAGCTCCGTCTCTACCTTCAAGGCCTACTTCCAGAACTTTATCAAGTCCGTCCAGTCCGGCTCTTTCTTTTCCAACGCCGGTGCTTCCCTCCAGAACGTCCGCAACATCTCCAGGACACAGGTCGCCGCTGCTGGTGTTCTCCTCGCTGAGTGCCTCGGCTTTTTCACCATCGGCGAGATGATCGGCCGGATGAAGCTCATCGGCTACCACGGCGAGACCCACGCCGCCGCCCACTAAACGGACTCCCATCTTCCTCGATCATTAACTACCACCGCTTAATGAACGTCAACCAAAGAGACTAGAGTGTTGGGCCGAACCTCAGTCACCAATGGCCCGCGCGCGAGCAATGGGAAGAGGCCTTACTTGATATCCGACAGCAAGGGGTTGTGTGTGCAGGTGTGGGCGCGTGTGCGCAACGTGTGCGTGTGTGTCAGAAGAGTGGTGGGAAAAAAAGGGAATCCAGTTTTGGGAGGGAACGGACGGGACAGAATACCGCGCGAAGAGAGAGAGAGAGACGAGAACGGGAAATGATTTCATGGAATAGAATCATAAGGCGTAACGGGGATCACTTGTTTTTTTCTTGCTCGTTTAGATTTTTGGCCCGACTTCTTTCTCTGCCGTTCCTATCCCTCTCCGCCTCCTCCCCCTTTCTTCCCTGGTCCGGCGCTCTCTCTCTCACCAAACTCACGCAAGTGACCGCGCAGCAGCCAAACGTTGGGTGTGAGAGCTGTGGATAACCGGAGATCGCCTATGGAAACTGACCCCGGCAATACAACGGATATCCTACTCAAGTAGCGCAGAAGTTGCATCTTTTAGCCCCCGGGGTTTGGAATCTTTTTTTGGAGAGTTCGTTCGCAAAGGAAGAGGGAGAGAGAAGCACGAAAGCAACAAGACCATCATCCCAGAATTCCCAGGGAGATTCCGGTTCGGCTCATCTCGTCTCTTTGTCAGCCCATCTCCCTCCAGCTGGGAACCCTCATCACTTACCAATTCTATTTCTCCCATTGTATATTTGTCCCAGGAGCTTGGTTCGGTCCCTCACTGTTTCACTTTTATTTTTACCTTCTGTCGATTGTATAACATATGCTTCATAGACATTTAGCCGCTATTATGTGCAGAAAGAGAGTAGAGACGGAGAGGTCACAAAAGGAGGTTGAATTGAGAAAGATGAGATAAAACCGAACCCGATTTTCAACCTACACATGTGGTCATGTTGTATCTTTCTTATGGCTCAATCATTCCTTCATTCATCAAAGTCACTTGGATTGATTCCAGTTCAAATCGGGCCAAAAGCTCCGGTCGGTCGACCCGGGTCGGTCGATGTGGCCGGCCTTGGGTTTCCCCATGTTCTTCCCAGAATAGACCATGGTGACCATGGTCTCCGACCCTACCTACCCCTGCCCGCCTCTTTCTTTGACTCTGTTGGCCTTAATTGTCGACCTCATCACATCACCGTCGCGACTCTGCCATGCAAGTGGTTTTCATCACGCCCGCTGCCCAACACAACACCCTCGTACCCAAACAAAAAAAGCTTCTTGCTTTTCACTTCCTTGGCCTTTCTTCGAAACGAGACTGTCGACGTGGCTAGGTGGCTGCTTAGTTGCCTCACACGCACCCCTGGTGATTGTATGATTCACTACAATGGAAGGCCGGTCGGTTTCGTGCGGCCCCCGGTGGTCACTGGGTGGGTGACAAACTCTTTTTTCCATGTTCCATGTTGTCCCCGCAGCGTTTGCACCAGCCCTTTACAGACTTGTGCTGTTTTCCATAAACTCTCGTGTCTGTCGACGTGGCTCGCTTGTTTCCACCTCACTCCCTTTTTTGGTGGGTTGATGAGACGACAAACAGACAGGCTGGAGCTGGCTGGACCCGGGCTAGGCCGGGCTGCCTCTGACCCGTTCTGTCGACCGTTCCCGCTGCGAGTGATTTGATGTGTTGTCTCATCCTTCTACTATTATTCCTTGTCCCGGTTCTGGTTTCGGTTCTAATCCCCCAATACTTCCCTGCTGTCTCTCTTTTATGTCTCACGTCACTCTGAGGAGGAGGAGAAAGCCAAGCCGGGCTGTCCATGTCGTCGGTTGAGGTGAATCGGTCCCGGTTCGGTTCAAGTTCCTCCCCCCTTTGATGAATATGTGATGATCGTCTCTCCAAGCTCCCATACCATCCATACTCCGTGACGTGTCACAGCTCCTATGGATTAGGCCGCGGCCAGCAGTTAGCTAAGTTGTTTTGTAAGAGGTGAAGAGAGGTAAGGTGCTTGCATTTGTTTGCGTATATGCGCGAGGAATCACATCGACGTGTTCATGGAGCTAATAGTGGTTCTTGAAAAGGTCACGAAGTGGGTGATGTAGAGCAGTGGAAGAGAGAGGGTGGCGAGGCGAGATGACGAGCATATTGTGCCCATAGATGGTTCCGAGTACCCGTTTAGTTAGGGTAGTCTTGAAGTTCAGATCGATGGGAGTTGGAACTTGCTACCTCATATCGATGAGAATGTATTATCAGTAGCATCGGGACGGATGGGGTCCCGGCTGAGCCGCGGGGGGTCACGAATACCTACCTACTAGTAACCTACGGGCCGACCGACACTCGGCCGGCGGCCGGGGAACAAACAACCTTCGTCGATGTTTCAGACAGACTTTCTCTTGCCCACCACTCATGGCACTATGACTTGCTTGATTACATCCCGGGGGTTTGCTTGCCGTGGGCACCCCATTACGGTCGCTCTTTCCCCCCTGTCGGGTTCAAAGCCAAGAAGAACGGAAACTTCGAAACCGCATCTGGACTCCTCCCTGCAGTAGTCTCTATGTAGGCAAGTTTCAAGATGGTGATGTGACGGATGTGACCGCCAGTGAATGTTCAGTTATGTTCCGACTTCCAGGCTACGTACAAGTGGACAAGTCCAAGCAGGCATACCCTAGCTACCTAGGTAGGTATGAAGTCAAGTACGTGTACGCCGAACGGTCACCATACCATCCATATCCAATACATACAATGAAGCAAAGTACTGCTACCTTTCATGCTCTTGTGTGTGTTTTTTTTTTTTTTTTTTTCCCTTGTCAGGCAGGTAGTGCCAATCCTAGCAGAACAGTTAATTACACTACAAATATCAACTGTATCAACAGCAAGCCAGCAAAGCAAAAGCGAGTTTTGCAACACCACCCATTTTCAAGCATTCACATTGTGAAGTGCGGGCAGCAAGCTACGGCAGTCAAGCCGTAGAGTTGTTCGATAAACGGTGTGTCTTCTGAGATTGGTGCGGTTGGCGAGGAACACTTTGGGGTAAGCCCCCTCTTCAAGAGCCGCCACAAGTCCAAAACCTCGATAGAACGACACACGTGTCTGCAGTGTACTTTCTAGTTTGACATCTTGCAAAGTTTCAGTTCGGTTAGCTTCCATGTGATTTCTCCAGAAGAATCCAAGCTCGGCGATGCCGAAGTCTCAAGATGAATAGCCATGCTTTATGTTCTGACAAGGTTTTCAGTTCCGAGTTCACAATTTCTTTCCCTTGTTCAAGGCTCCCGTTAGCTGTTGGTCAAGGCTCTGTTACGTAGCTGATGTTCAAGGCTTTACAATGCTACCTACCTAGTGTACATGCGAACTATTGGCTTGAAAAAAAAAAGGCACAGTAGGGCAGACGTGACTCCTTCATGTGGCTTTCCATCTGATCGTCCACCTCGCCGGGTTGCGGGAGTGGCTAGTACTTCTAGAAGAGTGAAACTCACTTAACTAGTGCCCGCCGGGGGTAGGTAGGGGGGGCCTGGTAGGGAACGTGGCTCGAGCCTGGCAACTTGAACTAGTTGACCTACCTACGCCCAATAGAAGACTTAACAAGTTCATCAAAGTCCGATATTACTATCTATCCCCCTGGTTGCCATGACTCTCGGCCGTAAGTAGTCCGAGGTCAGATGAGACTAGTAGTGTAGAGTTAAGGTACCTTAAGCCTTGTCCGTAACCTCGACACTTCTTAGGCTTGGATGCTTGGGTCGTTTCAAAAAAGAAAGTTAGCCTTACCGTCGAGACACAGGGAAGCCACATTCCGTCCGGATCCTGCAGATCTCTCTTCGTCTTGGAGGAGGAGGCTGTGTGTTAATGGGAGCTTGTCTGGTTTAGAGAGTGGTAGCGAGTGAAGTTACGAATATAGATGGATCGTCCTAGATAGTGTGAAAATGACAGGAACATAGGAGCACCGGTACAAGCACAGCCCAGAAGCATTCCTGTTACGGTTAACTTTTGGTTCAGCCCACAGTAAGCATACAGCGTACATGATGGCTAAGTCCCATGATCGCTAGATTCAGGCGTATAAAAGAGACGCGGAAGCAGTTGAACAGGGTAAGGTCTTAATTTCGTGTAGTACAGACGGAAATCCCGGTCATTCGGCAGCGCCGGTACAGGGTGCCGGTCCCGGGCTATGTTGTATTGCGTCGTTCCCACACTCAAACACCTGTGCAGTCTTGGCGGGCGTGTGTGCGTGCACACACACATACACCGCATTTGACAAATCTGGCCATTTGACATCGCTTTACACGACTTAACTCAATCGTTTAATATCGAAATCTACCCAAAACTAGTACAAAAAGTTGATATTTTGATGCTCTAAATTGTGTAGTTGTCTATTTTAATATTTATATTATCTTTTGAATTATTATTAATATAGTATACTACCCCAATACCCGCCAGAAGGTATTAATAATAATAATACTAGTAAATAACGAATATCCTAATAATATTATTAAGACTATTAGTATAAGTATAAAGAGTATGTAGAAATATAAGTATATTCTAGCGGATACTAGCAAGGTATTTATACCGCCGCGAACCCCCTAGAACGCTAAAAAGTTTCTTATATAGGCGTTTAAAGTATATTATATACTATATTACTCCTTATATTTTATTAATTATAATTAATATTATAAAGGAAATTATAAACCTCCTTGTATTAAAACCTAATTTATATCTCGACGAAATTTATACTTTTTTAATTAATGAATATAACGTATATATTTCGACCGAGACTGTACAATAGTACTTTCAATAGGAGAAGTAGAAGAAGAAATAATTCTATATAAAGGTATTATAATAATCCCCTATACTAGTAATTAAATAGATATTAAAGATCTTTTTATTTACTATAGAAATATTCGTATTTTGTAACAAATTTAGTACAAATCGAAGGGATAGTGTTCGTTATACTAGTTAGGTACCTCGTAGCGCTATTACGATAATATTAAGCAAATTTATCTATAGTACGTAGTATTACCTCCTCCTAGCTATTATAATAAATAGGCTATTTAATATACTAATATTTAGAGGTATAACGGATTTAGTTGGGGTTTGGGATTGGATAGTAAAATGCCTGCTCTTTAAAATAAATTTATTTCCTAATTGCAATAATATTTTAATAATAAATAACGTTAATTAGCACCCCCGTACTGAATTTTAATACGCGTATAATTAGAAGAGGGTTCTATTATAGTATTTGCCGCTGTACTCTCCCGAATTTAACTTTATTGAAGTATACTTTAGCGATTTTAAGTAGTAATTTAAAAGGGTATACTGTAACGAAGGCAATAATAAAATATTAAATAATAATTTTACTACGTTCCTTAAATAACTAATGTAGAACGTAGGGTATAAAGTATAATAGATCCGTAATTATTTTAAGAACGTAAAATTAATAATAGATGAATTTAATAATATTAATAAAAAGTATAGGGAGCTATATACTAACGAGCTAATTGAATATAGAGAGATAGGTACTATATTTAAGCGGCGGTAAAGAGTATAGAAGGGAGAAATAAATTTATATATATTAAATTGAATTAAATACTAAAAATACTAGAAATATTAGAAATACTAAAAGTACTAAAAGTATTAAAAATTGTATTTATTTATATAATAATACTAAAATACTAGAAACCCCCCTCTTTCGCTATAAATCGATTTGTAATATTGTTATCTCTCGCTAGGACTGCTAATAATAATACTATCTGCTATAGAAGCGAAAGTTCTAATAACGCCGTATTCGAATGTAATATTAAATCGGGGGTCTAAAATATATATTAGTTAATTAAATTACGGTAATAGGGGTTAGAAGGTATATTTACTATAATTTAACTATATTATTAGTATTATATACTTAATTTTAAGGAAGTTTTTAATACCGTCCCTAAATATTATATAGAGGTCGTAGTTGAACCCCAGCCTTATAAATTATTTTACTAATTATTTTCTAAGCGCGAATATATTAGGAGGCGCCTCTTTATTCCGGAGTTTATTCTTTAAAGTAATTAAAGTTCTATATATTAATAATACTTTAGTTGACGTTCTAATATAGTAATATTTATAGAATACTTTAAAGAATTCGGTAATAATCTCTTTAGCCGGTTAATTAGGCGGGGCGGAGGGTAGTAATAATAAACGAAGACCGAGAGTTAAGAATATAAATAGATATAGTATAAATAATTTTCCAATTTCTATTAGGGATTCTTTAATCTCTTTACCCTCGTCCTCTTCGCCTATTATTAATAGTAGTACAATTAACGGCGGTACTAGTAGTTAAGTAAAAATTTAGTTACTATAAAGATAGGAGGAGGGTTAATATTAGTACGCTTAATAGTAAAAGTTTTGCAATTAGTCGGGTACTTATAAAATATAGTAATAAAATAGTTTAAGGGCGTATACGAATCGATAATTATTATTTTATCTAATAGAGGGAAAGCGCCCGCTATATTATAATTATAACCGCCCGTAATTATTAAATTAATTATAAAGCCGCCGGCGGTATAAGAAGGAGGTAACTAGATTTAGGGAAATTAAAAATAGGGAGGGAAATATTAGTATAGTAGTAGGTATAGTAAGTATAGGGGAGGAGGGTATAATTAATATAAACCTCTAAAATTATCCCTCCTTAGTGTAACTTATAATAGACTATTTATAGTCTCTATATTAGTACTACTATTACTACTATTAATATTATTAATAATATTAATATTAATTAATAGATTATTACCTCCTCCCTTACGTTTACTATTATTGTTACTAATACTAGAGGTAGCTGCTACCTTATTGCCTAATATCTATTATAATAAACTACCGGGCGGGTTAATTACTATAGCCTTCTCTAATAAGATTGTATATACCTACTTACTTATATTTTTAATATTAAAGTTATAGTAGGTTATATTCCTATTAATAATATAATATATTTAATATTTAATAGCCTTATTATAATTCTTATACTTATAATTAAGATTGTACGCCTATGCCTATACTAATTCCTAGTATATAGTACCGCGTAGTTTTACCCCCGTATATTCCTCTCGTTACTAATCCTCTTCTAGATTCTTTTTAACTTTTATTAGTATAGTATTTATTGTAACGTACTTAAATTTCTTAGTACCGGCTAGAGTCTATAACCCTCGTAATAATAGTATATTGGCCGTTTATAGGGTTAGGGTAATAAAAGGATTAACTAAATTATAAGAGGGGGTAAGAGTAAAGGGTATATTACTACGGAAGGATAGGGTAGTATGGATTTTACTAGCGGGCAGCTCAATTAACCGAAATTTAAATAATATAGTAAAATAGTAATTCTAACTAATATAGTAGAGGTACAACTTTATAATAGTCTCGTATTTAAAATTATTATACCTATTAAAGAACTCCTTCCTAAGGATAATTTTATTATAAATAATAATCCGGGCGCAGTAATAGTTATAGGTAGTAGTAATATAACTAACGTTATATAAAGAAATTAATTATTTTATTTCTATAGCTATATTATCGTTAATAATATCTTATACATAATTTTACTATAATTATCTAATCTCCTTAAATAATATTATCCCAAAGCGCTATTCGTAAAGTTCGCCGTTATTTTATTTAACTTCAACCTCTCTAAATAAACTATAGTCTTCGATAGAAGGTAGTTTATTATAATTAATAGTAATATACAAACCGACTATATTAAATTAGACTTATATTAACTTAGGGTATTTAGGGTACAATAGTAATATTAGAATAACCGGCTTACAGGTAGCGCGGGGCTAAACTAATAGCGCCAAGGCAATTAGTTTAGTCGGAGAGGCTACCTCGCTATTATTATCGCCCGATAGATAAAATAAAGTATTAAGAATCCGCTTCTTAAGGGTAAGGCGGATAGGGAGTTATTATTCGACTTTATTATCGTTACTAGAGTTTTCTTTACTATTAAAAATTTTAATAAGTATCGTAGGCTTAGGGGGGGACGACGGCGGTTCTAATTCTAGCTCTAGCTCTAACGTTAGGTCTCTAGTAGGAGCCTTCCCCTTCTTAACGGTAGTCTTTTTAATAGCGGCCTTCTTAGGGGTAGTTTTAATAGGAGTAGCCTTCTTCTTAAGTAGAATAATTTTAAGGATAACTTTAATAGACTATTCGGCTTTATAACTCTTCTTTCTAGGGCGGGAGGAGGTATATTATAGAATTATTAGACTAGGATCTTCCTAATCTTAATCTTCGTTAAAGTAAATTACTAGCGCGCCATTTCGAATATAGGAGCGTTTTATACCGGCGGGTTTTAAATTGAGGATTATTTTAGAAGGTATTATCGCAATGGATTTATTTAATTACTAGTATTTTAATTACTTTGTACATTGAAATAACTTCAAATTAATGTAGAAATTATTGTCAAATGATGGATTTTAACGAAGTTGTACAATACAGAAGTGCGGTGTGTGTGTGTGTGTGTGTGTGTGTGTGTGTGTGTGTGTGCACGCACGCACGCCCGCCAAGACTGCACAGGTGTTTGAGTGTGGGAACGTCGTATTCTGCCCAGGCCGGCTGCCGGTTGGATAATTCCGGGTGGCCGGGTGGTCGGTAGGCGGCTGGGCTACTTAAAAAGTAAGTATGTGTCCATTCAATTCCATAAACTGATCCGGAAGGGTAAGTTCATACCGGTCTCACTGGGACAGTCACGGTAAAAGATGAAGCTTGAAGTATCCGAAGTTATTGATCTGATTGGAATCTGGGTCAACCGTATTCGGTCGTGGTTCTGTGAGTCAACCACTGTCCAAATCGAAGCCCATGGCCGCGGCGGTCTCTGTCTCCAGTCACCTCCCACCTAATATTCTTTTCTCTTTTCCCTTGGTTCATTTGCACACATAAAGCAGAGGAAGAAGTAGAAGGTAGGGATTTATTTCTCTCCAGTGCTCCTTCCCAAGACATGTTCTTCGAATGATATTCACTTGTGAGGATCCAACAACCAATAATAGACGGTGCAACTCCAACTTCGATATATCTTTCTTTCATGCAACTGAACTCAAAGTGTAAGTCAAACACTCACAGAACAATTGAAGAAAGGTGAAACTGCCTTGCAAGAAAAACACAGTCCGCGTTGAAATGTTGTGAAACCCCACACAGGTTACTCCGGTGCATCGTTCGAGAACTGTGAGCGTTGCTTGAGTGACCCTTTAAACACTCTGCTGGGACAGACGGAAAATACCATCCCGTTCTAAAGGCAAACAAGCTGCAACCACGAAAAACCAGAAAAACCCGATGGAGAATGAGGGTTGTTAATCTTTATGAGACTATTGAAAGCAATAGGCAGGGGGTCAACGACAAGGCGGCCGTAGGGGTCAGAGAGAAAGACAGTCTGAAATAAGTTGAAGAGACTTATGTTGATGAGGAATGAAAACCCGTGTATACAATTTCGACTTCAGTTTTGATAGTGTTAAAGGGATATCTGACAAGTGTATGGGGTGAGGATGGGACAGTGGCCAGTACCAAAAAGGAGAAACCCAACAATGACCTCCCTTAACGCCGTCGACACGAACTCCGCTGCTGTTGAAACCATTGTATGTACCATTGCATAAAGCGCAAAAAGATAATAGTGCATCGGACCGAACCCACCAAAGTGGCTTCATGCTGGTCTTCTCGCCGTGAAAATGTGCCTATTTGAGTTAGCCATTGTGAATAACGGAGTTGTGCCTGGTGCTAACGGCCGCTTGCAGGCTCGTTGGTACTCACAGTGTACAATACGCGCGTATTTTGCGCGACCGAATCTCCTCCTTCACAAGGCTGATGAGGTGCCTCGCAGCGTCTGGGGTATAACCGAGAATCCGGGTGAAGGGCGCCAAGGTTAGAGCTTCTAGACCTTGGGTGAGACCAAGATTAAACCATCGCCCAATCTCGCGTTCATGAGCATCCTCTGGCCATCCATTGATAGGAACCTTGATAACTTGCTCGTGAAGATCCACCAGGCCAGCCTGTCTCATTTGCTGCTGGACGCGATGGCTGTCCAGTCTCATTGGACGCCCAGCTCTATCCATTGCCTCCACCAGCGCTTCGGCCCATCGTAAGAAATGAGAATCCGGTGGCAGACTCCTATCATCACTGCGTGGGACCCAATCGATTTCCACCTGCTCGACAAATCCGCAATGGGGCTTCAGGTGTCTGTAAAATGGTCAGAAGAGTAACTCCAGCTGTAGAAGATGCTTTTGAAACTTACCTGTATATCTGGTCATACACAAATGGCCAGTCGGAGATGCTACCATTCAGTGTACGTAGGTGAATGAGGTCATAAGCACATCCGCTCAGTTCCAGCCACGGCTCTTCAATATCCATAGGCTTGAATACGAGGTTGCGCGGGATACTAAATAAGGGAAAATTAGCTTTTCTTTTTCTCTCAATCTCCTCTTTTTCTTTTTCTTTCAACAAGCAAAGTCCGTTGTTACCTACAATTCTGGCTGGATCAGAGCAAGATCCGCACCAGTGACTTGACCAAGCACTGGATATTTACTGTGAGACGCTACAAGTTAGAATATACATAGTCAATGTAGTCTCATTATAATCATTTACTTACTCTTGCATATCAATTGCCCATATTCCGGTTCCACATCCCAGGTCAAGGATCCGCGGACTTTCCTGATTCGGGAACGGTGCTGAGAAGAGTTGCTGGTTGCGAGCGAGCAAAAAGAAATGATGAAACATGTCGAGTCTATCTTTCTCCAGCTGCATAATGTGTCAGTATGGTGTCAACACCATTTATATTGACGTACCAGCGGTTGAATACGGAAAACACACCTCATCGATAGGGAACATGTATTGCCCTTTCTTATACTCCCCATAGAAGCGTCCATTTTCCATATACCCAGGGACTAGATTGGGTCCCCTATGTGTGACGGAACAATGTTAGCTTTTCTGTAAAACAGGTATAGCTGTAGTCAGGTTGAAAGTAAGAAGAAATAAAGATCCTACCCGGGCCCATGATGACCTTCCATTGCTCTGTAAGACGGATAACTGTCCTGGTTTGAAGATCCCAAGGTATGAGAGGCAGGCATATATGGCAAGCCAAAGTGTACTCTCTCTCTCTTCTATGTAACAGGGCACGATGACCCGTCAGGAAGTGTTGTTCCTTTGGAGGTGAGAGATGGTAAGGAGATGTGGTGTTCGTATATCTGCTGATGAGTGGTTAGACAACGAATACAAATAATTCGACCTTGAGAGGGAACACGGACAGGTAGGACACGAAAGGGTAGAGAAGGACAAGAAAGGAGCCTCGCAACAAACAAGGCTTTGACCGGGACTTATAAGAAGTAACCCGGAAAGTGAAGAGAGTAGCGCAACCAGAGGAGCGAGCGGGTCTGATGACAGGGCTGAGAGGGAACCGGGGTCTATGTCAAGTTGACCTGTCCCGATGGAATTATGAATGGCTGGACAACAGATGGAAGCCGAAAGCTGAGCAGTTAAGTACTGCACCTGCTTTGTACCCTTCCAACCAATGGGCGGTATGTGACGGTAGGGTCGACAAGGTAGGTCCCAAGTGGGTGAAGGCAGGCTGGCCGCCGAGAACCATGGTCCAAACATACGGATCCTTGGGAAGCCTTCAACCATGGGTAGGTAACATAGTCGCAAAAGAGCCACTTGGGAACATCCTCAGGCTAGCGCTGCTGTGTTATGTATGGCAGGGGCAAAGCAGGGAAAGGTAGGGTCGGGGATCCCAGGCCCCAGACCCGGGTAGGTGGACAGAGGGGGGAGGGCCTGCAGTGGTCTCGGATAAAGACGAGAAAAAATGGGTCAGGGGTTACAAAAACAAAACAATGGAGAGATTGGGAGGGCAGGAGGGGACGGACACGTGCGAGGACCAAGGAGACGACACAAAGTGACTGGTTGGGGAACGACAGATGGGGAAAAGCACACTTACTTGTCCTGGGGTGCTGATTACTGAGATGAGAAGAGAGATGAAGCCGCCGGAAGTGTCGAGAAGAGGGAGAGCGAAAAGAAGAAAAAAAGAAGAGAAGGGGGAACGTGCTAGATAGCGGTCGGCGACAGAGCAAAGAGGACGGCCGAGGTACGTATGATGAGGTAGAGGTAGTTCAATGATGCAGGTGAGCCAACGGACTGGCAGAGTTTGAATGGGCAATTTGAGATCTCCAGGTCGGATCGAAGTAATACTGGACTGTATGTAGTGGTGATTTGATTGAGGTGCTTGTGTCGCTTGATGGGCTGCCCTGCGTTTTGCGTTGGGTGCAGAATTGGCGGTTGAGGTGTACTTAATGCATGCAATGAGTATGTAGAGGTACCGACGTGGGCCACAGTACATGCGCGGTACCGTGACAGACCGTACGCGACCGAACCGTAACTGACTGTAACATATGTACACGCTCAGCACCTCAAACACGCCGTTAGGGCCCAGGGCGTCTCCTGGGTCTTTAGGGTTTGTCGGGCGTGCCAGCTAAAGTAGGGAGCCAACGGCTCTGGGACCAAGAAAAAGAAATGAGCAAAATGCAGACAGGGGAAAAGAGGCGCTTGCTGGGACCGTTGTTGGCCGCGTCCTCGACTTCGATGTCGCAACGATCCTATGCAGGTCTGACAGGGGGCTCTCGTTTTTCTAGCTTTCTTTCTAGCGCAAGCCAGCAGCGGCAGCGTAGCGTTGACGGGCGTCAGAATTTGTATCGTGTCGTGGTACGTAGCCACGGTAGGGTGGCTCGAATCCGAAACCGAGCGGAACTCCCGCGGAGGCGTGGACCTCTGCGCTTTTTGAAGTGTTGGCCTAGAAGTATGGTTCGCAGCGTTGGCGGACCCTATGATGATCACCTCTTCTCTACTGACCATTAACTTGAAAAAGTCAAGCTTCACACCGGCAACCACGCCATGCCAAGGCCTCTTAGGTTGGTGTATGATGATGTAGCCAGCAGCGAAGAAGGGCCCCCCTAGGTTGAACAACGGACAGCAAAATGAAACAGCCAACAGCGCAATGGTGTTCGGGTAGCTTTGCCGCTGCTCGCCTATCTTCTAACCCGGTGCGCCGCGAAGCAAAGCTTGAGGAGAACAAGAGTCTTTGTTTGCTCAGAATCAATCCAAAGCACTCATTGACCTTGTTGGGCGATGGCGAGTGTACATCCGGCACTGGTGTACATACAGTAGCTGAAGCGGATGGTCGGTTGGGGCCGATGCGCTGGCACGCTCTCGGAGCTCTCTCCTGTCGACTATACGGGCATCTCATAGGCCAATGGGCGGGGGAGTGAAGTAATCAAGGTCGTTGGGAGACAGCATGGAGCATGATGGGGGATCTTGGACGCCAACCGACGACGGCACCGTGAAGACCACAAGAGGTAAGGAAAAGCCTTTCGATGAGAAGTGCGGTAGCTCAGGTCTTGGAGGATGGCGGCTAGCCTCGCAGGCTATCACTTTGGTTGAGTGGTTGGGAGTTCCTGGGGGACGGGGCTTGTCCGGGGCGTCGCTGGTCGGTGGCCTGGCGCCGGCGGGCTACTTGGGATAAATGGCCCAGCGAGTGCGTGCCTGTGGTAAGTTGGCGATGTGGAACGGGAGATGGAAACGGGCTTCCGAAATGGGGGGCCACGGTGTTGAGGACGCTTGGGA